TAACAAGGAGCAGAGCCGATGTCTCATGACCTCCTCCACAGGAAGAAGGCTGGCCAGAAGCAGACAGACAGACAGGCCATGGTGCTGAGCAGTGTCAGGGCTCTGCCCAGGTCAGCCGCCCTGTCTGTGCTCCCCACCCCACCCCTGGGTTCCAGAACGTGCAGGTGACTGGAGAGGTGGCAGGTCCCCACGGTGGTCAGTGAGGTGGGCAGTTAGGACCGTGGCTGAGGGAGCCCAGAGCCTCTGCTGAAGTTCCTGGCAGCAGCATTCCCACAAGGGCATAAGGTCCTACAAGGCTTCTGGGGCACTGGAGCTTCCTGTGAGGTCCAGGGCACACCTGCCATGCAGGCTGGACAGGCTGAGCACCGTGACGGAGGGCCTCCCAGGACTGGCCTCTTCCCCAGCACCAGCAGTGGGACCGCTTTTGGGCTGGGACGTTGCCACCAACCCTCCTCCCCTCCCCCAGGGAGAATGCTCACTTCATCTCGCTGCAACACCGGTGACCTGGAGAGGGCATCTGGCCTAAAGAGACCTCAGTGTTCATTTCACATGGGCTTCTGGCTCAAGAGAGGGAAATGCTCAAGAGAGGGGCCCCTGCCCCAGGGCCCAGTCCCGTGGCTCTGTGCATCCTCCCCACCCCCATCCTCTTTATGTCACAAGCCCACCATAGACCCCAGGGGCGGTGGGAGGACTCCTGGCCTGGAAACTGGCATTGCAGGGTCTGGAAGGCCAGTGTTTAAAGCAGGAGACCGTTCCTGAGCTCCAGGCAGAGCCCTGTGCTGGACAGCTGGATGCAGTGTGGGGTTTCTCGGCTGCTGCTCATGGGTCATCCCAGGTCAGCCTCGTGGGAGTCCCGTGGGCAGGCGACTTCACTTCTGTTTTACCTGTCACATGCCCAGCTGGACGGCCACAGAGCTGGGCTCTCAGCTTGGGTTTCTGGCTCCTGGGCCAGTATTCTGTTCACTCTGAGTGATGTGACCATGCCCAGTTTGAGGACACACATTCTGCAGGAACGGCTCTTGTCAGAGTGCCTGCACACTGGACGGCTGCCGGAGTCCAGTGTTCCTGGCATTCCGGTCTCAGAGACTGTTCTCAGAGATCTTCAAGTACTTTTGGCCTTGCCCAGTGACCATGCCTTTCAGTGAGGTGGGCTCCAGTCAGGAGAAGCCGCACCTGTTCATGTCATGCCCAGAACATACGGTTCCTCCCAGGCCCTGGCCGTGGGAAGCAAAGCTCTACTCCTGCACAGTTTGAAACAGAAGTGGCCTGCACTTTGCCTGTGGGCCATGTGGGGCCAGCCCACGCTGCAGCCGGAGTCACCATGTGCTCAGCGCCATGCTGGGCACTGCTAGCCAGGCAGATGCTATGATGGAAGGAGGCGGGGCCTGTCTCATAATGCGGTACTTGCTGTCCAGGTGGGGCTGTACCAGGGGGCGAGAATGAGATAATTGGTGGACTGGCTGCAGACTGCTTCTGCAGTGTCTGACTTGGCAGTGTGGGGGTGGCAGGAGGTCATCTTCCTTCCGAGGCCTGAGCCTGGATGGTGGTGTGTGGAGAGAGTCTGTAGTGCCATGCAATGCTGACCCAACACAGGCCCCACACTCACAGAAGGGCAGGGGATCTCACGGGATCTTCTTAAAGGAGGACTGGGAGCCTGGGATCAAAACAGTGGCTTCTGTGAAGTCTCTGAGACTTTCATTCAAATAACACATTCAGCTCATTCTGTGTATATGACAGCAAGGGGCACTGCTCAAAGCAGGTGGGAGCCCAGGTTGCCCACCCCCACTTTGCCCCGGCCCCCGCAGGAAGCACTGCGTTCTGATGAGGCACTGGCCACAGCTCCGACTCTGGTTGTGCGGGCCCAGAAGTGTTGCCCACCAGCCATGATGGCACACCAGGGCTCTGTCGGCCCTTTCCGGACATTCTGAAAAGCTGGGCAAGAAGGTATAGGTGGGCAGAGGGCGGGGCTTTAGTTGTCCGGTCAGCAGAGTTGCTCCTCCTGTGGCAAGCTGGGGAGCGTTCAGCAGGGAGCCTGAGGCCAGCTCGCAGGTGTGCAGGAAGTGAAGGTTGCCCCATGGGAGCACCCAGAGAAAGGGTGGACATCTGGTTAGCCGTTGGCCACACTATGGTGGGGAAAGGGCAAAAGGCAGGTCCCAGTGGGTACCTCCAAGAGCCTGTCCCAACCACGGGTCAAGGAGCTGCTACCCTTTGTGTGATCCCTGCACCCGTGCCCAAGCTCGTGGGAGGGTGGCAGCGATGGCAGCCAGGGCGGGAAGGCCTTGAAGGCCACAGAGTGCTTGGAGTGACGGCCTGGACAGTCCCTCCAGCCACACTCAGCGGCCGGACCAAGGATATCTCAGGAGCTCATCTGGAAGCTCCCAGGACCCGGCAGCAAAGGCTCAGACTGGCTGGTGGGTGACCGCTGGAGGCCTGGCCCTGCCCAGAAAGGATGTGGTTGGCTTGAGAAATTCCTCTCTGGGTCACTCATGCTAATGGAATGTCAGCAGGCGCGAGGACACAGCTGCCCGGTGGAAGTGACTGTGACGCCAGCTCAGCTTTCGGCCCCTTCTGGACCCGCCCTGGTCTCCGGGATATGGGGGGGGGGGGGGGGGCAGCAGTGGGAAGGGGACCTGCCTGGCAGAGAGAAGGTGCTGAGGAGGCAGTGGGCCTGCTGGGAGCCAGGAATGCTGCAGGGCTGGGCTGCCCGGGCACTGTCCCAGCCCAGCCCCGGGTGGAGTCCCCCTGCCCAGAGGACTCTGCTGCCCTGGCTGCTCATGGGAGGGGACCTTGCAATGCACTGGAGCTTTCGTCACACCCCCAACCCCACCTCTTCTCACCCCATCCTCCTCTTCCTCAACACCAGCGCTCTGTTCTCCCTCCCACTGAGCCCATCTGAAATAAGCCACTTGATTCTCGGTCAGTTTGTCATCTGGTGCACTCTCATGGTTGCCTGGAAGACAGAAGTTGTCTTCTGCTTCACATTCCCCAAAGCGGGGGCTCCCGGTGCTGGTGGGGTGTTGGGCCCTTGGAGAATCTGGATGGAGGGGAGGGGCGACAGGGTGCCAAGCCCCTGTGCCGGCTATGCGGCCCCTCAGTGGGAACCTCTGTGTCTGACTTGGGCCCACCAGGTGCTCGTTAGTGGACATCCCCAGAAGGCCTGAGTGAGATGAGAGTTCAAGTCGGGTGTGGGACAAGTGCACGGAGGGGCAGCTGTAGGGGTGACGGGGGGCAGGGGGTGTCCTGTGTGCAGCAGCAGAAAAGCCTTCGTCAGGAAAAGTGCAGATGAAAAGCAGTATTTGCCCAGCACTCAGGAACCCCCCCCTTCTGAAAGGAAGAGTTGCCCCTCCCGTGGGGGCAGGGGCGTCTGCCCGTGCCTGTGGCAAGCCAGGGAGCATCCAGCAGGGAGTCTGAGGCCAGCTCGCAGGTGTGCAGGGGGTGAAGTGCCCCCCGGGGAGTACCCAGAGAAATCTCACCCTGCTGTTCCCCACCAGCAAGTCACGGTCGGCCGGAGAGAAACGTGGGCTGCAAAGGAAGGAGTGGAGGAAACAGAGGCCAGGGCCCAGCTGGCGGTCCCGAGGGTCAGAGGGGCAGCTCCCGGGGCAGGCAGAACTCAGCATCCGTGGAGTCCTGTGTGCCGGCATCAGGAGTCTGCCAGAACCCCCAGTGTCAGCGGTCAAGTTCAGGGCCCCGGCCAAGCGCCGCAGCTCAATAGGCTAATCCTCCGCTTGCGGTGCCGGCACACTGGGTTCTAGTCCCAGTTGGGGCGCCGGATTCTGTCCCAGTTGCCCCTCTTCCAGGCCAGCTCTCTGCTGTGGCCCGGGAGTGCAGTGGAGGATGGCCCAAGTGCTTGGGTCCTGCACCCCATGGGAGACCAGGAGAAGCACCTGGCTCCTGCCTTCGGATCAGCGCAGTGCGCCGGCCACAGCGCGCCAGCCGTGGCGGCCATTGGAGGGTGAAGCAACGGCAAAAGGAAGACCTTCCTCTTTGTCTCTCTCTCTCACTGTCCACTCTGCCTGTCAAAAAAAAAAAAAAAGTTCAGGGCCCGGCAGTCCTGTTTTGCTCAGCAGCGATGCTGAGAAGAGAAAGGCCTCGCTCACTCTCGTGGTTCGGTGGGGACTGGGAATCACAGCCTTGTGTGGGGTCTCTCTCCCCTCCCCTCACCTTCCCTCGGTAACTCTGCCTTTCAAATAAATACAATTAAAATTAAAAAAAAAAAAAAAAAGGATGTCACTTGAGATGCCCACATCCCGCATCGGAGTGCCTGGGTAGGAGTCCCAGTTCTGTTCCAGATTCCAGCTTCTTGCTAATGCATGCCGTCAACAATAGGCAATGGCCCATGTGTGTGGGGCCCTGCCAGCCACATGAACAACCTGGTTTGGGTTCCTGGCTTTGGCCTGGTCCGTCCCCAGCTGTGGTGGGCATTTGGAGAGCGAGCCAGTAGATGGAAGCTGTCTGTCCATCTGTGTGTCTGTCTCTGCCTCTTAAATAAAATGAAAACAGAACTCTTTTAGGTACCCTTCTTACCAATTCCTTGCACAACCTGACTCACTGATTCAGAGTGCTTTCTGGGCATGGCTATTACCCAGGGCCTTCTCCTGAGCCCTAGGACAGGCAGGTCTATGTAAAGTTCCACCAAGTGTTCCATGAGACATGGGACAGGGACACTGTTTAGCTGAGGCTGTGAGTAGGAAGAGCAAAGCAGGCAAGGCTAGGAGTCACATCTGACAGCAAGATGACGTCTGATTGGGGAACACACGGAGGGAGCCTGGTGGGCCCTGGCAAGTGCAAAAGAGTGCTCCAAGAAGGGGCGAAACTGAGGCCCAGAGAGAACAAGTGGTTCAGGGAGCCATGTCCCCAGAGAGTCTGCCTCCTGTGGACTAGAGAGGAAGGCAGATGGGGGCTGACCTGGTGGGGCAGAATCCCCAGGGTCTCACACGAGGAGGAAAGCCAGGTGAGAGCAGGGCCTCTGCCGGCACACTGACCCCCGCTCCTCCCCGCAGCCTGATGTTCACCAAGGTGAAGCTGGAGCAGACGCTGAAAGGCCCAGAGGAAGCCCTCGTGACCTGCAGACAAATGCTGCGCCTGTGGCAGACCCTGTACAGCTTCTCCCAGCTGGGGTGAGTGGCTGTCGTCTTCCCTTGGGTCACCAGAGGGTGGAGGGCGGAGCTGGCAGGTGGTGGCCATGGTGCCGGGCAAGGTGGGGGTGGAGGGATGTTCAAATGCAAGTACGGAGCTTCCTGCCCCCGGGGCTTTGTCCTGGCATGGGACAGTGTTTAACTTCCTGGCAGCTCTCTACTCAGGATTTATGAACTTGAAGCCCAGAATGCCAGAAGGAAGAGAAATCATCATTGAGCACCTGAGCCAGGGGCTGGTCTTGTCGCTTTCATTGCCTCCACCGCTTGGACTCATATCTCAGATGTTATCAGATTTTATTCTCAGCCCAATGAGGAAGCTGGGGCTCAGACCTCAGATACACGTGCCGCCCGCTGTAGCCTGGGCTCTGTGTTTTCTGAGCCCCAGCAGGACACCTTTGTCTGGGCTGAAGCTGCAGACAGTCTTTGCTCAAAGCCAGTGGGGTGCCCAGGCTGGGCCTGTGCAGCCAGAGGACAGGGAGGCCCCTTGTGGTTGGGCTCACTGCCTCTTCCTGTCCCTCTTGTCTCCGCTCTGCCCCTCCTCTGTGCTTGCTGGCTGTGTCATCTCCCTCAGGCCACTGGGGACCCCCACCCTGGTGGGTATTTGTATTTTCACAGGGGCTGTGGGAGCCCAGAAGGTTTGCAGACTTCAGCAGGGAGGTCTCTAAGGGCTCAATTTGCAGAGGAGACCCAAGGGTGTTCAGCTGGGGGAAGGGGCCATGGGCAGAGTCAGCCCTCCCTTTGCAGGAGTTGGAGGCTGGAAGATTCCAGGGCAGGGCAGGGCACTGAGTGGAAGCTGCCAGAGGAGCCTGGAGGGTGAGGAACTTCTTAGGAAGGGGACAGGAAGCCACCTGGCAGCTGGGTGGTGTGGATGGTGGGAAGGGCACCTGCGTGCAGATGGGGCAGCTTGAGCAGGTGGACGACCTGGTGCCCCATCGGCCCCCGGAGCAGGCTGCCTCTCTAGATGGCTGGCTGCTCATCCGGGTGGTCCATCACAGCAGGTTCCCCTGAGCCGTAGGCTTAGCTACCGCGCTTCTCAGAGCAGCAGTGCTGCAGACTGCCAGGTGCCATCCCAGGGGCACACATTCTATCTCTGTCCTGATAGCCTAATGGAACTCATCACAGCAGCCAGCCCCCCAGCACTTATGGGGAACCTCCCATGGCTCCCTGGCCCAGGGCAGGGCAGGGCTCTGCCAGGTTGGTTTTCTGGACCAGAAGCCTGGATCAGTGTGTTCTGGCTTTCTCAGGATTAGGAAGGATTCCTTTGTGAATCCAGAGCCTATAAAATCAAGTCTGGGACAGTCGAGGGTCGAGACCATAGTCCGTAGCTGAAGGTCTGGGCCACTCTCACCTCCCAGTGAACTCCTGGGCATATCCGCTTCCTTTCCTCTTCCCGGGGCCAGCCCCACTGGCCTCACCTCCACCCTCTGTGAATCTTTGCTAATTGCTCAGCTTGAACTTTCTCTTCTTCTTGACTGGGCTATCAGGGTCCTCAAGGTAGGGGACATGCTGCATGTTGGCCCAGAACCAAGTGGCAAGTAGTATGTTCCAAGATGGGCTGTTCCTGGAGCCCTGAGAGAGAAGACAGGATGCAGACACCTGTGGGTCTGCTCCAAGCCGCCCCACGATGGGCATATGCTTCTGTTGTCTCATTTCCTTCTCCCAACTACTTTGTAAGATGGATGTTGTCATGCTCGTTTTCAAGGTCAGAAAACTAAGACTCAGAGGCTGGCATTGTGACAGGTTAAGCCACAGGGGACGAGAGGAGCAGGATGAGGCAGTGCGCCCACCCACACAGGGCCTCCCAGCAGGTTAAGCCACAGCCTGTAGTGTTGGCATCCCAAACAGGCACTGGTTCGAGTCCTGGCTGCTCCACTTCCAGTGCAGCTCTCTGCTAATGTGCCTGGGAAAGCAGCAGAAGATGGGCCAAGGACCTGGGCCCCTGTGCCCAAGTGGGAGACCAGGAGGAAGCTCCTAGCTTAATCTAAGCACAAATGCGGCCATCTGGGGAGTGAACCAGCAGATGGAAGATCCCTCTGATTCTCCTTCTCTCTCTAACTCTGCCTTTCAAATAAATAAATGAAAACTAGTGAAGACCCATCGGCTTTGCTGAGGCAGAAGGTGGCCCCATGATTTTAACCTCACATCCCTGGCTCTTTTGCACGTTATTTAGGAGCATCTTGGAATGGGTTGAGGGTGGGAGAGGGGAAGGGAACCAGCCCTGGGCGCCCGTGTTTGGTTGGCTTTCCGCTGATGTTGGGGAAGATGGCTATGCATCCCCAGGCCCTGGTGGGACCAGTGTGAGCCCCCGTTAGGATGGCAAGGCCACCCTGGCCACCTTCTCTCCTGCCCTCTCTGCTGCTGTCCTCCTCAAGTTCCCACAGCCGGAGGACCCCAGGCCGCGGATGTCCACAGCAGTGGAAGGTCTGGTGGGGCCACATTTGTCTCCAGAGGTCACACAACAGATTGCGCTCTCTTCTGAGCCAGTGTCTCTTTCCTGCCCCTCCCCATCTCCCACTGTGAGAAAAGAGGACCCCCCAGTGGTACGGGAGCCTCGGGGACCTGGGGAAGTGGGGTGGGTAGAGACAGATGGGGTCACCATGCTTGTTTATCTGCCACACCAGGGCCCCTGCTGGCTGCTCCAGACTGGGGCAGATAAGGCATCCATGCCCTCCTTCCCCGGTGGGGGTGGGGGTGGAGGGTAACAGTGGCTGGGCCCTGGCAGGGCCCTGCGGAGTCCAGGCCTGCTTCAGAAGCCAGTGCACAGGCCCGGCTCTGCACCTGGCACTCTGCTAGACATGGTGAGGGCGCTGGGGAGTGACAGCAGGGAGGTCCCAGCACTCAGCCTGCGTGACATGGGAGCCCCGCTGGTCAGTTCTGCTGCCCTGGTAGTCTGAGCTCTTCCCGGTGGCCCTGACTGTGTCTCTGTTCTCAGTCCGAACTCTCACCCCACGAGCCTGTCTGGATTGAGGCTCCGTCGTTCTTTCTGCCAAGCCCACCCCTCACCAGGCCGGGCCCTGCCTTGTCTTCCAGAGGCCTGGAAAAGGACGGCAGCTTCACCGAGGGCCTCACCATGAAGAAGCACAGCGGCATGCACCTGACTCTCCCTGATGCCCATGACGCAGACTCCAGTAAGAGCTGTCCCTGTGGGCATCTGCCCCAGCCTGGCCAGGCCCACCACTGCCCCCGGCCAGCCGCAGCCCAGGGAGCTTGGTGCTGAAGAGCTAAGGAGCTGCCCTCAGGCGTCTGGGTGTGGCTGGCTGCTGGCCGGGGACAGGTGGTGGGCAGCTGGAACCAGCAGGGAGGGTGGAGGTGAAGAGAGAGGAGGCTGGGGTGGACAGATAGCCAGGAGCACCGCGACGGTTCCCCCTTAGGCTGGAGCTGGAGCCCAGAATCTAGCTGCTGCCCTCGATAGATGAGTCAGGTAGAAAGGAGTGGCTGAGCTGACTTTTCCTGGAAAAAACTCATCCCGAAACCTATGGCTCATGAAATTCGAGCGAGTTCGGGAACTTCAAACTCACATTCTTTAAACTGACAACCCGATGAAAGCACAGCACCTTCCCCCAGGGACACCGGAAGAACAATCAGCACGGGAATGGACGTGTGAGTGGAGTCGTAGTCAGAGCCATTGCTCATTCTTTCCACTTCCGTGAGCGTGAGCCACAGTGCGCCCTCACGGTCAGGTGACGGTGATTTCAGAAGCCAAACCTGGCACCTGACTTCAGGCGTGTGGGGCTGCGTGTGGAGCTGCAGGCTTCCAGGAGGCATTGCCAGGGCCGGTGGCCCTCTCGCAGTGGAGGAGGGACAAATCATGCACAAAGTTATTGGGACTCTGTGTACGCTTGTCCCAGAAACAAATCATCTGTGCTTTGCCCCAGGTCTCCTGAGTTTACTGGAGCGTTCGTTGCCTCCGAGAAAGAGAGAGAGAAAGGGCTCACATTTGACCTGCGTGGGAATTGGAGATGTCAGCAGCCTCTCTGTCCTGACCAGGGCCCTAGTCACCCCACTACTGCCAGGGCGTGAGGTGCTGCCGAGACCCCAGCCTGCCCCGAGCTGCCGCCCGAAAGTGCTCGGCGCAGTGTCGGGTGTCTCCTTTCTAGGAGGACTCTTCAAAATGCTCCTGGAAAATGTTGTTTTCTGTCATAAAAAAACCACGAGTGGATCGCAGGCATGTTTGGCACCAAGTTAAACTTATCTTTTAATTCCATTTTCCCACAAGCTGTCAGAATCCCCTTTTTTAAAAAAGCAAAAGGAGGAAAAGGAAGATCACCCCTAATTTCTCCATTAAGGCCTTTCAGGCTTTTTTCCTCATTTCTTGTTTATAAAATGTGATCATATTTTTCTGCAACTGGATTGTTTTCTGCCCAGTATATAATGTAAAGGTCTTGCTAAGTCAACATCTTTATCTTTTTTTTTTTTTTTAAGATTTATTTTATTTATTTGAAAAGCAGAGTTACAAGAGGTAGAGGCAGAGAGAGAGGTCTTCCATCCACTGGTTCACTCCCCAGATGGCTGCATCGGCCGGAGCTGCGTCAATCCAAAGCCAGGAGCCAGGAGCTTCCTCCGGGTCCCCCATGCAGGTGCAGGGGCCCACAGACTTGGGCCATCTTCTACTGCTAGCAGAGAGCTGGATAGGAAGTGGAGCAGCCAGGACTTGAACTGGTGCCCATATGGGATGCTGGCACTGCAGGTGGCGACTTTACCCGCTACACCACAGCGCCAGCGCCAACATCCTTATCTCTACATTGTTATTTAAACAACTGCAGAATCTCCGTGATTCTAGGCTCTGCTGTTTTTTGTCGTTGCATACCCTGGGGTAATTTCTCCTGTTTTCAGTACTACAGACAGCGGGAGGATGAGCCTCTTTGCTGACATTTTTGTTTTCCATAGGGCTGGAACTGTAGTGGGTAAAAGTTCCTCTCGCAGCCATCGGTAGCCCTTCCTCGTGGGTCTGTGGGCTGTTTTCGGGTTACCCTATCTCTCCCCATGGAGCATTCACTGCTCCTGGGGCCTGCAGTGTGGGGCACCTGGCTCTGCTGCTCAGCCCTGTCCCCTCTCACTCTGCAGACTCTCAGCGGGCCTCGTCCATCGCAGCCTCGCGGCTGGAGGAGGCCATGTCCGAGCTGACCGTGCCCGCCTCTGTCCTGAAGCAGGGCCCCTCGCAGCTGTGGACCACACTGGAGCAGATCTGGCTGCAGGCTGGTGAGTGCCTTTAGCCCTAGGGACACCCGCCTAAGGCCCCCCAGGCACTCAGAGCCCTGTCTTGTTGCTGTGGATTCGTTCTGAGAGAAGGAACGTGGTGGGGGCAAGAGATGCGGAGTCACCACACAGACCCCGGGAGGGCGAGCAGCCCTCAGACTCGTTTATTTCAGTTGCTATAGCAGCTTATATAGCCAAGGCAGCCAATACGGTCAAGGGGTAGTCTATGCCCTAACCAATCACAGTCTGTTGCCAGTCAGGCTCTGTTGCCGGGGGTTTCCAAAACCATCCTCCAGTCACAGCCCGTTGTCAGTCAGGCTCCGTTGTCAGTGGCCATCTTGGCATGGCCTTCTCATTCTACCACACTGTCTCATCCTGGAGAGGGGGTGTGCACAGCCGGGGGCTCCAGAGCACTCTGGGATCAGAGACCTGGGGCTGAGGTTCCAGCTCTTTCTTCCCTGCTTACCCTGGCAAGTCACCCAGTGTGTCTGGCTTCGGCGTTCCCTCTCTGCCCGATGAGGGGGGCAGTGCTTGTGTCCCTACCCGGCGCAGGGTCTCTGGCAGCAAATACACACATGAGTGGATTTGGGGTCAGGAGAGCCCACACAGATGGACAGCCTGCTCAGTCTCAAAAATCAGCTTCCAGCCCTGGAGGGCTTTGAGCCCTGGTGAGTTGGTGGAGTAGGAAGGCCTCCGAGAGAGGGAGGTCTGGGGGTAGGGTTCATCGGAGGTGGAGGGAAGGCAGTGACTGAGGCTCCCTTCCAGTGCGGGCCCCTCTTGATAGGGCGCCATTGCCGCGGAGGCGCTGAGGGTTCCCTGGTGGGGAAGCGGCAGACCTGGGTCCTGATGCCCGCTCCCCGCTGGCCAAGTCCTGATCGGAAGCGAGCAGCCGTGTGGCGCGGACTAGGTGCTCAGCAGATGGTGCTCGGCTTCTGCGGTGTCTGTCGTGGTTGGGGTAGAGGCCAAGGCCACGTGGTGCAGCAGGCAGCGAGCGTCCTCACGCTGCGCTTGGGAATGCCAAGGGGTGATTCGTCGGGAAGAGAAGTTGATGGTTTAACCCTACGGCAGTGAAAAGAGAGACCCACAACCCGAGGTGACACATGCCCAAATGTAATAAAACAGCAGAAGAGCAATAAAGAGAGGACACGAGAGTGACTGAAATCCTGAAAATACTCCCGGGGCCAGCACGCCCCTGTGAGCACCCCTCCTCCCTCCTGTCTGCCCCTCCCCACCACAGGTGGTGCTGCAGCCCCCAAGGAGTGGTAAGAAACCAGAAGTGGGGGATCAGCCCCTGGGCCGTGGGGATTTGAGAGCCAACGTTCAAACGCGCTTGGCAGCTGAGAGTCCAGGGTTTCCCACCTCACATGTTTCACGCGTGGATGCGTTTGTGTGCAGCGTGTCCCCTCTCTCCCCACTGGAGTTTCTGAATCTAGAAAACAAAATGGACCAGGACTCACAGGAAGGCTAGACATGGGAGCATTTGAGTTCTGCCAGTATTGCCCTACTTGGCACGTGAGGGCCCCTTAGGGGCTAGGATGTGGGGGCTGTGCCCCATTGCTTGTTGGGTCTTAAGTGGGAAGAAGAATGGTGCACAATCTAGAAGAGTAATGAACATATCCTCATCTTAGGCAAAGATTCTCATCTTCTTTTTTCCTTTTTAAAGATTTGTTCATTTGTTTGAAAGTCAGAGTTACAGGATTACAGGAGAGAGATCAATCCATCTGCAGGTTCACTCCCCAGGTGGCCTCAAGAGCCAGAGCTGAGCCAGTCCAAACCCAGGAGACAGGAGTTTCCTCCAGATCTCCCACAAGGGTGCAGGGCCCCAAGTACTTGGGCCATCTTCCCTTGCTTTTCTGAGGCCATAGCAGAGAGCTGGATCGGAAGCAGAACAGCCAGGACTTGAAGAACCAGCACCCATATGGGATGCCGGCATTGCAGGCAGTGCTTTATCCACTATGCCACAATACCAGCTCCTGATTCCCATCCTCTTCTAAGATGGAAGCCATAGCGAGTCCCCAGGGCAGGGTGGAGCCGTAGCAAGTCCCCAGGGCAAGGTGGAGCCCCAGAACCACAGGTGCCTGGGGGAAAGCTGCACCCACACTGGGGTGCCCCCAACTTCAAGAAATGCCTGAGTATCTGCGATCACGTGCCTTGAGTTTAGTGCTTTGTCTTGTTTGGTGCCATTAGCAGGTGCTAATGTTTCTGCAGGTCGCAAGGCCGCTCGCATTCCTCACACAGTGTTCATTCCCTTATGCGAGGGGTGCTAGCGTGTTGAGGACCTTCCTAGAGCCTGAGATTGGACTTGGGAGTGTTGATGTAAACACACTCCCGCCCTTCAGTAATGTGCACATCAGCTCTTCTCCAGTGTCACCCTGGATACTCGGTCAACAGAGGAGAACGTGGAAGACAGCATCTGAACTTTGAACTGGGCTCCAGGTGAGGGCAGGGCAGCACAGCGTCAGGAGGGAGGTTTGGGCTCAAGGCAGATGTAACTTCTTTCAGTTCAGGGGTGACCACCCTGCCTGGGATGACCGCTGTGCTGTCCCCGTTCTTGTCCACTTGGCCCAGAATGGCTCCCTGCCATGTTCACATTCCAAGTCATGGGACAAATGAGGACAAGAGGAAGACGGACACCCTCTCCCTAGAAGGACACATCCTGGAGTTCCCACTCATGATCAGAATTTTGTTATCTAACCACCAGAACTCAGGCCAGAACTTTGTTATCTAACCACTCATAATACAAACTACCCCGGCATATGTCCTCATTCTGGGTGTCCATCTGTACCATTAAACCCCAGGGGAGAGCCAGTCCTGTATCAGAGTGCCTGGACTTGATTCATAGCTCTAGCCCCTAAGTCCAGCTTCTTGCCAGTATGGACCCTAGACGTCAGTGGTGATGGCTCAAGCATTTGAAAGCCTGCTTTCCACGTGGGAGATGTGGATTGAGCTCCTGGCTCCTAGCTCCTGGCTCTGGCTCTAGCCCAGTCCCAGAACTTGCAGGCATTTGGGGAGTGAACCTGGGAATGGGAGTCTCTCTGCTTCTCAAAGAAATAGAATTTTTTAAAATTAACTAACAAAACCACCCTCCCAGAGGGTTTCCAGTTGCGAGAGATGTGGGGTGAGAGCGTCGCTGTTTGGGGAGTGGCTCTGTGCGGGACTGGGACACCAGGCCCCACAGATGCTCTGGAATCCTGAGTGCCAACAGGTGCTTTCCCGAGAGCAGGAGCCAGCCCCTGCTCGCTGCCGTGCCTGTCCCTGGGAAGTGGCAGTGTGCCAGAGACAGGGAGCTGGATGGGGAGGTCCAGGGAGAGCTGGCTGAGCCTCCCTCCTCACTGCCTGGTCCACACTGTCTGGGCACGGGGACCCTGCAGATAGAAACCCCTCCAGCTGTCTGCTAGGCAACCTAGGCAGCCGTGGCTAAGCTTCCGGGCTGCAGTGAAAGCCCCTGTTTATGTGTGATAAAGTCACGGTCCAGAGGAGCTGCTTCCTGCCCAGGCCCTGCCCGCTCGTCCTTCCTCTGCCTCCTCGCTCTGTCTTCCTTTGCTCTGCCTCTTCCAGGTCCCCACCCACCTCGTTGCCTCCTGAGCTGGCGAGGAGGCCGCTCTCAAGGCAGGACGTCATCCGCAGGTCCCATAGCCCCCGACTCCCTGGCTGTCTGGGTGCACCTGACCTCCGTGTTCCCTGACAGGTTCTCCTGCCCCTTGACTCTGCAAGTCCGTGTGTCTCGAGGGTCTGCTGCATAGCAGAATGCTGACTTCCTGATTTCCTTGGGGGTCACCACATGACCTCCACTTTGTGGGGGCAGGCAAGGCCAGCTCATGTGAGTTCTACTTAGGGCCTAGTCTCTCTGCTGTCCTCAGGGGAGACGGTCTCTGTCGGGAGCACACCCCACCAGGGGAGGCGCCTGCTCCTCAGCACAGGACCCTCCCTGCAGAGTGGAATGGAAACGGCCGTGGAGAAGGAACTGTGCCCTGCCAGGCCGGGGAGCCCGGGTCACTGGCAGGGACGGCAGGAAGGCTGGAACCGTCAGCCCTGGGTGCGGGGTCACACCAGGAAGCCTCAGAGGAAAAGAAGGAAAGGGCGTCTTGCAGCACTCCAGGGAACAGATGTTTTCCATTTGTAGCCTGCAGAGAGAAGCTAAGAGGGGAGGGGCAGAGAGACGGTGGGAAGAAAAGGAGAGAGCAGCGAGGAGGTTGAGAGGTGAGCAGAGAGGGAGGTGAGGCCGGAGGGGCCGTCAGAAGGGAGGAAGGCAGGTAGTCGCCTGGGGGACTGCGGAGGGCTCCCGTGACACCAGGCACAGCAAGGCCCTGTTTGCCAGGACCATGGAAATCCCGGGGAAGTCGTCACAGCGAGTGTCCCTCCAGCCCTAGCCAGCGCGGCCAGGATGGGTGTGCCACTGCTGGAGCCTGGCTGTCCGGCCAGGCCAGGAGGGAGAAGGTCAAGGCAGCAGTGGGCACGGTGCCACGGGGTTCCTGCTGCGGTCCGGCAGCCAGCTGGCTGCAGAACACCATGTTTGGTAAAACAGCAGGAGCCGGGGGCACCTGCCCAGGAACACTGAGCTTCCGAAAGGGGGTGCGTTGCAGCCCCGGACCCGTGGGCCTGGCTGCAGGTCAGGGGCAGCCCTGGGGAGACCTGGCTTCTCTGGCTCTGTGCTGTGCTGTCCGGTTCCCTGCCCGCCTGGTGGTGCAGCCATCAGCACTGAGCGACCCTGTGCTCCGGGCTGCGCCCAGCAGGCAAGGGGCCCTGAGGCAGGAGAGACTGTGCTGGAGTGGGCCTCTCTAACTGACATGTGTTGATGTGAAGGCCCTGGGAGTAGTCCCCAGGGTGGGCCCAGGGACAGCCTCCCACAGGCTCGGGAGACAGCGCAGCAAGCTGTAAACAGCTTAATGAGCCGGGCCAGGGCCGCCCTCTGCCTCTGCCCTCTCCTCTTCGGCTGCGGTGGAGCCCAGCCCTCTGGGTTAGCGTGGCCTCCCTTCTCCTCTACCAGCCCAGCTGCCCCTGCAGCCTTCGGTCCCAGCTCAGATGCTGCTGCCCCCAGGAAGACTTCCCTGACCACACCCGCAGCACTGGTCTGACCCGCTCTGAGTGCCCGTAACACTCAGAACTGACGCTTGTCGCTCCTCTGCCCTGGGCCTCCCACGGGGCTTAGTGGCTCAGCGGTCCCCACCCTAGCTCCGTCTCCACTCTCTCCTCATGGGAGGACATGGCACGCAGTGAGAGCAGAACGCGTGCACGTGGGACACTTGTTGTGAAGGCGGCCTGCTCAGCACCTCCAGCAGAGCAGAGCAGGAGAGGCCGAGACAGCCAAGTCCCTGGCCACTGCCCGCCCTCCCCGCCAGGCCCTGAGTTCGTATCCCTCCCCATGCTCTCTGCCTTGAGCATCTCCAGGTCATCCTGTCTCAAGGGACAAGAGCCTGCATTGCTCGCTCTCTCTCTCTCTCTCTCTCTCTCGTCACGGGAGCCTGGTTTCTCTCTGTTTAACAAATTCTCTGACACTCCCAGGTTCTCGGCTTCAGTGACGAAAAGCGCGCTTGCTCCAGAAGCCCTCAGTAGCATCTTGGGTGTGGCGAGCTGCTTGGGTTGCACACGAACCTCAGGCAGTGTTGGCGCTAAGGGCCCCCCGTGCTGCGCGCAGCAGCCAAGGGCTTCCTGAGGTCTGCATCCTGCCGGACATCCTGTCAGGACGGGAAGAGGGAGTGCCTGGGCCTGCTGTTTCACCCTCTTTCTGGGAGTTCACACTGGAGATGTGTGTTACCCACCCCGTGCCAGACGTACTGTGAACTAGCATAACCTCAGCTCTCAGCCTGTGCTAGGAAAAGCTCTTGGCACCGCCACCAGCGGACTCTGCCGGCCTCCTGCACGCCCATCTGGGTTGCCGTCCTTCTGTGGCCTCCGCACAGGCACCAGCACTGGTGGCGAGCTGCTGAGAAGGGCGGGGGGGGGGGGGGGGCCAAGCGGCTGCCAGGCCAGCCGAGAGCCATTCTAAAACTGCCTGCTGGGGGCGTGTGCCTAGGCAGCGTGGGATGGAAATGTGCATTTGTGTGGGCCGGCCCGGGATTGAGGACACTACCCCTCCCCGCTGAGGGGCTTCTGAGGCAGATCTGGTCCTGTGTGTGTGTGCCGGCTGTGCAGACGGCCCAGGGGCTGCTGGGGGCCAGCCCTGGCTTTGCCCTTTCTCCCAGGGGAGTCGGGTGAACTCGTCCTTCATCAGCCTGGCTTTTTAGAGTAGGGACCCTGATAGTACCCTTACCCACCCTCCGCCAGCCCAGGGAGGATTAATGAGACAAAGGATTTTGCAACCAGCTCTCCATAAACGCAGGTGGTGACTTCTGTAGCTTGGGTGGAGTCCCGCTCTGCCCCTTAGCAGGTGCTCCCAGAGCCTCCATCCCCTCCTCGCCCACCCCCAGCCTTGGCTGCAGCCTGCCCTATCTTGCCCTGACCTCAGTCAGCCTCCCACCCCCACCCGACCCCGAGAGGCCTCTAGAGCCTCCGTCCCTTCTCCCAGGACATGCAGCAGCAGCCAGGGTCACCTAGGCCAGCTCCCAGCTCTAGGGGACGCCATTTGTGTCGCCAGCGCCGGGCCTCGAAGTCAGACAGCCTGCTGCAAACCCTGGCTCCTCCTGTAGCCGTGGGCAGGTGCCATCTTTCCTGCTGCCCGGACCGTGTGAGCATCCCCTGAGACTGTGAGGAGCGCTTCGCATGGTGCCTGACACGGAGACAGTGCCTTCCCACCCCTGGTTTGACCCTGCTTCCCACAGTGAGCTTGCCCTGTGCTGGGAGCCGGGGGGACCGTGGCCCTCACCACAGACCGGTTCCCCACCACTCACACCTCCCACGCCCCTTCTGGTTTCACAGCTGAGCTGTTCATGGAGCAAAAACACCTTAAGGAAGCCGGTTTCTGTATCCAGGAGGCGGCGGGCCTCTTCCCCACCTCTCACTCGGTGCTCTACATGCGGGGCCGGCTGGCCGAGGCGAAGGGCAGCTTGGAGGAGGCCAAGCAGCTGTACAAGGAGGCGCTCACAGTGAACCCCGACGGAGTACACATCATGCACAGCCTGGTGAGTCCACCTGCGCAGGCCCCAGGCCCTGGCCCCGCCTGGCCCTCCTTGCCCCGGCCCCACTGCCTGCCAGGGCCTTGCTGCTGAGCTGTGGCTGTGGCTGTGTCTGGGGTGGTGGCCCCCTCCAGCTTGATCGCGAGTGATGGCTCACTCACTCTCGCTGTCTCTTGCTCTGTCTCCCTGTCGCAGACCCTGACAGTTCCCCTTCAGGCTGCTTTGTGGCTTTCATGACGTTTTTGCCCCAGAGGGCTCTTCTTGTTGCTCATCTGATCCTCTCGGCAGGTCCCCCCCTCCTCTGATGGTTGGGCTGCCTCCCTCTCCTTGGTGGGATTTTGGGGCGTGCCAGGGCAGTCTGTGATGCCAGGCCTGGTGCAAACACACATGGCAAATGGTTCCTGGCGTGGTAACAAGGCCCAGCAGCCCCGGTCCGGGGACATGGGCTCTGGACTCAGGTGCCCAGTGCACAGCAGCCTCGCTGGAGGACGATTCGGAGGCTGGGGAGCAGGAGGCCAGGGACCTTGTCCTGGCCTTGCCACTCTGACGCTCGGTGACCCTGGGCAAGTCAGTCACCGTCTCGGGACTTTGGTGTTACTTAATCTGTCCAGTGGGGATCCTCTGGTCCAAGAAAAATGTAACTGAGTCCTGCTGTGACAGGTGGCGTAGGAGATCCTTGCAACAGCCATTTCCCCCTGCCTTCCTTGGCCGCATCCAGAGAGCAGGCATCAGGATAACACTCATAGACGGGGCTGAGAGGGCCCAAGCCTGTATGAGCACAGGTGATGTTCAAGGCTAACAGGAGCCCACAGTTAGCAACCACCTTCCCCCCCGGGAGCTGGGTTCTGCCCCGGCTGTCCCAGGTCTCCAGAGCCATTTAGAACGGCGGGAGAGCATCCCTGACACCTGCCCCATGGAGCACACTGAAGCTTCAGGAGAAGGGCTCCCTCCGGGGGCCGAAGGGCCGTCCTTGCCAAGCAGGGTCTGATCTGCCCGCAGGGCGAAGCCAGCGTCAGGGAGAATGTTGCAGGTCGTAGTGCTCGGTGATCACCCGGCGGAGGTGCTGCCGAGAGAGCGGACACTGCACTCCGGGGCGGGGCCGGGCCGGGTCATCTCTGTAAGACACGAGTCCTGGAAAACGACATGGGACAAAGATCCCATCACCCTCTGGCCCCTGTTCCCTTCCGGTGGCTGCACGTCGCCTGCCGGGCGGCTCAGCAAATGTTTGTTTTCTGCAAAGCACCACTCCTTCCCCTCGCGATTCAGCTGCGAGCGTCTCTGATGAATGCCTCGCCAGAGGTCACGTCCAGAAACTTGATTAGGGAGGTGGGAGGGAGGCTGTGGGCCGTCCTCAGGCCCATGGCCAAGGCAGAGATGTCCGCCTTCCCTCGCCTTCGTGGATTAGCGCCTGTGGCCGGGCCCTAAAGTGTGGCGACATCAGCACCAAGGAGGACTTTGCAGGAATGGTGTACCACCTTTCATTTATGCTTATGGTTGTTTGTAGACAGTTTCCTGAAATCAAAGCCATTTCCAAGGGTGGGTTTCTATGGTAACCGCCTGGCTGTCCAGAGTGGCTCCCTGCAGCTGTTACTGAAATGGCCCTTTTCTGTTCCCCGGGTGCCTTGCTGATTTGGTGAAACTGGGGCACGCCAGAGCCAGGCCTGCCCACCTGTGAAGTTACAGGCACGCAGAGGGGCCGTCGGCTCCTGCGTGGGCAGCTCCTCCCTCTCCACATGCTCTGTTCCTGCCAGCTTCCCACACACATGCAAAAAGAATAGGAAATTGCAAGCCTGGGGGAGATTCACCAAGCGCTCTTTCCCTAAGGCCGTGTGGACGCTTGGGCGTGTTCCTCTGAACTGTTCCCTGTCTGATGTCTTCCCTGTGCTGGCCTGGGTCTCAGGGATCCGGGATCTGGCTCTGGCTCTGGCGACTCACTTGGGTGACTTGGAAAGGACGCCTGCAGCTTCCATACCCCTGCTGTCCCCTCCTGTAATTGGCGATTGCCCTCCTGTCCCTAGGTCCCAGTGTTACTCTAATCGGAGGCAGGGCTGTCAGGCCAATCTCTCCTGGCCCACGCTGCTGGGAGCACGAGGGTCTGGCCAGGTGTCTCTGTGCTGCTGGAGTAGCCTCGATGCCAGCAGGGTGCCGAGCTGGCAGAGGGCAGGGCCAGGACCTCAGTGCAATCTTTAAGGTTACTTCAGGGGTGGCTTTTCAGATCCCAGCAGGACACCTGGCCCTGGAGGAGGTGGCTGCAGGTTGGGGCCAACCTGGACTGGAGCCTCACTTTGCCTGTATTCGCTGTTTAACCTTGGTCAAGTTCCTTAGCCTGTCTGAGCCTCGGGATTCGCATCTGTAGAATGGGGCTCACTGTGCCCAGCAGCTAGGGTTACGGTTAAATAATTTAACGTCAGCAGTCCTGCAGTTAGCGTTGTTTTTGCCTTCGTCACTTGGAGGAGTAGCTCCTCCCAGGCCGTGTTTGTGTGGTCTTGGTCTGCAGAGGGAAGTGGAAGCCCTGAGCCATGCTCCAGACTCATTGCAGCGAAGCCACTGGGTCCTCATGAGTCCATCCGGGAAACCTGGCCAAGGCGCAGATGTGCAGGCCCTGGACCCCGACTGCCTGAGGGGCAGGGCGAGAGTGCAGCCCGCGCAGGGCCAGGCTGAGCCCGGCTGGCAGGGAGGGCAGCAGCTTGTTAGGGTCCTGCAGTCCGTGTGTCAGGCCGTGGTGGCGGGCTCCTGGGGAGGAGCTGCTCGGCCCGCACCCCGGCCTATGCCGTGCCAGGCTGCTCAGCCTCTGTACCCCAACTCTACAGGGCATAAGCGTCCCGAGCAGCCAAGAAGTGGATCCCAGTGCCCGGCACTGTGAAGGGCCCAGTGCGGCTGGGCGGGGCCGGCAGGTGCACAGCACAGCAGGGGATGCTTCCCCGCTCTGGGCTGCTCCCTCCTCGTTCATTTCCTGAGCAGGTGGTTCAGAGGGGTCCAGACAGCCTGAGGAGTGGGAGGACCTCCAAGTCTTGCCCTTGGCTCTGCGTGTGTGTTAGAGACGGAGACAGGCACCGGGCAGGCCAGCGAGAGGGCCAATGCTTCTGCGTGGCAGAGTTCAGTCAGAGCGCCTCAGCCCCTCGGCCCTCAGGGAGGTGATTTTCCTCTGAGTGCTGTCTCCGGTGCCCCTGGCCTGTACTGCCCCAGGGGGAAGGGGGGAGGCTGTGGCCTGTGTGTGTCACAGGCTCCCTCCTGGGGCAGGTGAGGCTCCGCCCTGCTGGGAAACCTCGGGCTGGGCGTGGCTCCTGAAGTCCACGGACATCCGAGGGGAGGCTGGGAAGACAGCTTGCCCCAGATTCAGATCCGAATGAGAGCTGAGTGCTGGCGGCATAACAGCTCCAGAGTCGGTTTTGTCCAAAGAGGAATTGCACAGCAGGATTTTCCCCACAGGTCCAGCGCTGCCCCTACCACCAGCACCCCCCAAACCAAGCAGGCCGTCACCACCCCTCTTAGGCTAGGCCCCCTTCCCATGCCCCAATACTGGGGTTCGCCTCTAGCACCTGGAGTCCAAGGGCTCAGCTGAAGCTCCCTCTAATGAGCCCCGAAAGGGGACAGAAGAAGGGCCCAGACCCCTCCCTGGAGTTGGGGCGAGCTGAGGAATCCACTTTCTGGCAGGTCCCCGAGCTCTGGAGTCCCCCAGGATATGGCCTGTCATGGTCAAGCCAATCTTGACCAGGCCTGGCCCCGCCCCGCTGAAGGCAGACGCCCTCCTCCCACCGGGGTTCTGGGACATCACCTGTGGAGGACCCAGGAAGAGGAATCCCCTCCCTGGAGCTCTGGGAGGAGCCCGTGGGCAAGACACCGGGTGGGGTCTGTAAGGAGGTGTGCCCCTTCCCGCTGGAGGAAGTAGGACTAGCACAGACGGATGTGCTGGGAGGGGCAGGTTTTCCAGCTGGTCAGACAGGTTGACACACCTGAGGGCTGGGAGGGTGTGTCCTCCGTCTCCCCTTGCCGTGGAGGAGGCCCCTCCCTGCAGCCCCAGTGTCCCCAGACTGTGGGCTCCAGGGACCAGGAGGCTCCAGTGGCCACCAGCTGATTCCCAGCTTCCCAGCTGGAAAGTCTGTCACAGAATCCCAGGAATGTGCCTTGAGCTCAGAACAAAAATTCCCAAAATAACTTCTATAAATACTTGAGGGCAGGCATGGAGGGGGAGCACTCAGCCTGGACCGCAGCTGGCCCAGCCTAGCACTCGGGCTGCCTCCCGGGATGGGCCTCCCCCCAGAGAAAGGGACACCCACCCCCACCTCCCTGCCGGCCCTTCTGCCCCTGGGGTCAGGAGCCCAATGCACAGGGAGGCCTGGCAGCAGGACCACTCAGCCCAGACTGCAGTCCCCAGCCCCACCCCACACCTGTACAGAGAACCTGCCCTCAGTCGCCACCCAGAGTGAGCCGAGGATCCAGCAGGCCCTGGGTCTCGGGTGCCCGCCTTCGTGGCCCTAAGAGGCAGGGTTTTGCTGCTGAGCTCCCTGGGCACACCCCTGGCCGACTGTCCCCGGTCACTAAGCACCCTAAGTGCCTGTGTGTCCCTGGCTCTGCATCCAGGACCCTCCTGTGGTGAGTGGCAACACAGGCAGGAGACAGGGCCCTTGTCTCCTTGTACAAGAGCCCACAGTCAGGGACCGTGACCTCAAGCTGGCTGTTCGGGCATTGTGGGTGGGGGGTCTGTATCCTCAGGGAAGGTTTCCTGGGACAGCAGGGCCTGGGCAGACATGCAGACAGCTCCAGGAGGGAAAAAGGGGTGGAAGGAGGTGGAAATTTCTGGGAACGTCGCCTAGCCCTGCCTCTCCCTGAAGCCATGTGGGTGGCTCCAGCCAGCAGGTGCAGTGCTCAGTCTGCATCACCAGCTTGCGTGAGGTTTCTGACCCCTGTGGCTGGCCGTGCAGCTGTGGTGTTGCCCAGGGCAGGCCCAGGCTGGGCGCCCTCAGCAGGCCTGGGCTCTCATGTCCAGTAAGCAAGGACAGTCAGCTGGAATTGATACAACAGTGCTATGTCTCTCCTTTCTCTGGGCAAGTGGGGGAGCCAGGAGGCTGTGGGAAGACGCTCGGTATGGTGCAGGCTGGGGCGGAGCAGGTGAGGCCTTGGCTCTTCTGGGGCTGGGCCCTGCCTAGTTGTCAGGCAGCAAACAGCCCTGAGTTGCTACCAAACACTAACACGGCTGGTGTCAGAGGCAGGTGGCAGCTGATCCTATTACAGGCCCCGGGGCCTGTGGGCCCCAGCCTGACCCCTGCCCGGTGTCTCCTTTCAGGCTGGAAGGTCAGCACCCCAGGGTGGGAGACATGAGCCAACCCCACCACAGTCACAGTCTCGCCTCTCCCAGCCTCTAGACATCAGCTGTGCCACTCCCCCCGCCTCCCGCCCAAAGGACTCGCTGCCTTTGTCTCTGCACACCACGTGGCCCCGGCTGCACTTGCTCAAGTTCACTGAGACCAGATCCTCACAGCAGCCCTACCAGGAAGGCCCGAGCCATCCCCCAATTGCAGAGGAGGACCTCACGGCTCCGAGATGATTGGCCATCAGCCTGGGGTCACAGCACTTGTCGGTGGCAGTGCTGGGGTTCCAACCCCACCAGGCTTCCTGCTGCCGAGCTGGGCCTTTGCCTCCCCATGGACAGGGGGAACCTACAGCAAACCTTCCAAACTGAAAGTAGCACACACACGCACGCACACATGCACACACACGCACGTACATGCTGTGCAGCCTGCAGACACATCTGGCCCCTTCCCAAACACCCACACGCATATTGAGATCAGGGCTTTCAAACTCGTGTTTTAGCAGTGGGGCCCTTTTCTTAAACAGAAGCTCATGGAAGAAAGCTCAATGTTTCCTGTGTAGAAGCCACTAGGCCCCACCCACCTCAGGGGGCCCAGCCGGCCTGGCCTGGCCCTCTGCTCTGTCGCTGGCTCCCTGTGGCAGGACTCACAGGGCCCAAACCTTCCATTTTTGGTGCTCAATTTTGGCGTCTGGCGGCCATCAGCTTGCCTTCCTCCCCTCCTCCCCATGGGCCCGGTTCCACTGGGAGCTGCTCCGCTCTGCTCTCGGGCCGTGTGGGCAGAGCCGCTTGGCCTGGAGCCCTCCTGGCCAGACGGCCGCTGTCCCTGCTCCTGGGCAGCCCTGAGTCAGCACCACTCCCAGCTGGCCACAGCTCCCTGCCCTTCCCTGTCCCCTGCACGCCTCGGTGTGTGTGGTTGCCTGGGCACAGCTCTGGCCGGGCCTCCGCGGCAGCACGAGTGCAGTGCTTCGTCCTCTCCTGGCCTTGGCCCCAAGACCTCCGCTTGGCAGAGGGAGAGGGGGCGGGAGAGGCTTGTCCTAGGACTTCCGGAGCGAGCGAGCGAGCACCATTTCAGTCTTGCCTGATTGGCCGTGTTCCAGGCTCTCGGAGGACTTTATGAAATCAGGCGTGTGCATCTTCCCTGGTGCGTCGCCATAGCAACGGAGGGCCTAACTCTGGGGAGCTCAGCGAGGAGGAAAATGTTCCAGCTAAAAATGTCCATGGCCGTCAGTGGGCGGCACCAGCGAGGGGGCTCCAGGCACAGAGAAGGCAGCTCTGCACCCCCACCCTGGCCAGGAAGTGCATGTCAGGGCTTTGCCTTTTATCTTTGAACAAGAGAAGGCCAGTCCCCTGTGTTGCCAACCTGTGTGACCCTTGAGGGCTGGAATGGACATCTATGGAATGACACAAAGCAGCCTTTCTGGGCCATGAGGCAAAATGGGGGTCGTGTCCCCTTTCTCCAGCTTCCAGCTCTGTCCCCTCTGCACTCTTCCCAGTGTGGTGAGAAGAGGATAGAGAGGGCACAGGGTGCCACTTTCACTTCCCAGGCTTGTTCTGTGACAATTCCTGCTACTTCCTCCATCTCCCTAGCAATGGGCTAGTTTCAGCCAAACGGCAGGGCCATGCTTCTCACTGCCCCTGGCCCCAGCACCCCGGGCCTTTCGTCTGTCAGCCCAGCCAGCCCATTCTCTCCACGCTGCCTCCCACCCTGGCCATCCCACTCTCCTGCTGTGAGCCTCCCTTGCCAGGCTGGGCCAGGCTGGGCACTTGGGGCCCAGGACCCAGGCGTCCCCAGAAAGCCCGGCTGCTTGGTGCAGGCAAAGAGCAGCTCCTTCCCACTCACGGGCTTGGGCTTCTCCTCTCCCATGGCAGTGTGGGGGCGCTGAGCTCCTCAGCCTGACCGCGTGCCCGGGCTCTGGGGCAGCTCCGTGCTGCAGGGAGCAAGGGCTGAGATGAAAGGTCCTCCCCGAGCGCCTTACCTGTACAGCCTCATTCCAGCTTCTCCACAGCCCTAGAGCTGGGGGCTGTGAGTCGGCCGTCCACAGCTGAGGAAGCTGAAGGCCAGAGGCTTAGGGCTCGCCTGGGATCCACCAGACGGTGAGACCCGCAGCCAGGTATGGTGACCTGAAGGCCTGGTCTGTGGCCTTAGGAGAACAGAGTTCCTGCAGGGGTTGCCCCAGGAGGCTGGGGATGAAGCCAGGTTGGGCCGGAGCACGTGGGGTTTGCCTGGCTAAAGGGCATGGCTGCTTAACAGCACCCAAGCCAGGGACGCTGGGGCCTGTCTGCCTGGCAAGCTGGTACCCCCCCACTAACCCCGCCCTGTGCTTGTTCCCCAGGGTCTCATGCTAAGTCGGCTGGGCCACAAGAGCCTGGCCCAGAAGGTGCTGCGGGACGCCGTGGAGCGGCAGAGCACCTACCACGAGGCCTGGCAGGGCCTGGGGGAGGTGCTGCAAGCCCAGGGCCAGAACGAGGCCGCCATCGACTGCTTCCTCACCGCCCTGGAGCTGGAGGCCAGCAGCCCCGTGATGCCCTTCTCCATTATCCCCAGGGAGCTCTGAGCTCTGAGCAGCAGCAGCAGGGAGGGCTGGGGCCTCTGCGAAATACATCAGTAGTGAGCACGTGTGTGGGCTGCAGCCCAGTTCCCCGCGCCTTCCCTCTCCCACCCTGCCTTTCCCCAGGACTGGCTGGGCCTGGGTGCTGCTCATCTGGAGCCAGGTGGACAAGATTTGCATCTGAAGCAAATCCTCACTCCCTGGGCCACTGACACGGTGGCATTTCTGCGTGGGGAAGTGGCTGGGAGAACACAGCTCCCAGCAGGTGCCAGCCAAGCGTGCACTGACGCCCATGTGTCATGGGCACGCACCTCCACCTGTCTCGATGTTTCTGACACCTAGACCAGCCAGCTCTGCACAAGCCTGGCTCCTGAGCCTGGCAGCGCCACAGATGAGCCCACAGCCGCCTCCGGCTGGGCCAAGGGGCTTTTCCTGGCCTCCTTCCTGGGTGCCTGGGAGACAGTCTGGCTTGAACCCTTGGTGACCTGGCCAAGTTGTGGTGACCAGACCCGCTCCACGAGAGCTGTGCCCTGCCCCCTCTACCATGTGCAGTTGCCCGGGTGTCACCCGCCAGTCTCAGGACAACACAGCCTTCTGCATGTCTCTCAGGTCTCCCAGGGCAGTCACAGCTTGGAGAAAGAGCGGGCAAGTGGGAAGAAGACGGGCCACTCTGGGCCTTGGGGGTCTGGCCAGGGGCCCTAACTCACCCTCTGTTTCCGTCCAGGGCCACAGCCCAGTAGCATCTGTAGGCGCTCAGCCAGCAGCCCCCATGATGAGCCTCAGGGTAGGCAGGCAGCCTTGGAGCAGCCCTGTTGATGCTGCAGTCCACACATCATTCCCACAGGTCCCTGGAGGTCTAAGAACGTGCGAGAGGTGGCCTCAGGGACTGTCCCCAGCACCCCATCCCCCACAGCGCATGGTTGTGCTTTCTGGGGTCCCCTGAGGCCATGTGAGTGCCGCAGCCTGGGGCCGTGTCTGTGACAGACCCCGCTGTGGACTCAGAAGTCAGTGCCCTGCAGGCCCGCCGGGGAAGTCCCTTCTGGCCCACACTTTGGGTTTTGGGGTACAAAGCTCCTTCTGGTACCGCTCCCATTTTCAGCTGTATGGGAAGGTTGGCTGGGGGAGGCGTGCTTTGTCATCACCCCATCTGCCACGGAGGGAGAGGGCCCCTGGAGGCCCCCGCGCACTGCGCTGCCTCTGCACTATGTGCCCCAAGGTGGCGACGCTGGCAGCCGGCGCTGCCTGGCCCTCCCGGGCGTCCGTCAGGAGCATCCCAGAGGACACTGGCTGCTTTGCCTCTGGCTGAAGGAGCTCTGTATGTGTACGTGTGTATATAAATATAAATATTTATGTATATGAATATGATAGAGGTCTATTTCTTCTTTCATTAGGAAAAAGCCAAATGCTATTGATTCAGCTTAAGGTGCCTCAAGGTGTTGATAGCCAACTCTTGGTGACAGGAAAGGCGTCAGATGTGTGTCGAAACATGTCCTTGTTGGGAGCCTCAGCGGCTGGGTCGCGTGGCCGGCAGTGGCTTTGCAGATTGAATAAAGAGACCCTTGAGCGGAAGCAGAGTTGTCTGCAGCCGCGTGTTCGTTCATCCAGCCCTGGAGCCGGGCCCCCCAGAGCGGTGTCACAGGACGAGGGAGGCCGGAGAAGCCATCGGGGCCAAGGCCTGGGCCAGACAGCTCAGCAGGGGGGCGGAGGAGGAAGGGGTAGAAGGGGAGGCCCTCAGAGAAGGTTTGGATTTCCAGAGGGAGGGCATGAGAGGTGAGGGGTTCGGGAGGGTGCAGAGCTTGGAGCTGAAGCTGGAGGCGTGGGTGGGAGGAGGAGCGCAGTCTGGCCTCTGACCCCTGGAGCACAGCTGGGAGAGGCTAGGGCAGGGACCCCCTAGGGCAGGGATCCCTGAGCCAGAAACACTGACCTTGGCCATTGCTGACTGAGCACACGGCGCATGCAGGGGGGAGACCTCAGGCCATGCTCGGGTGGGCTGCCGCTGCGGGGAAGCCACACCACACACTGTGAGGACAGGAGATCTGCCACCTGCCCGTGGGCTCTGAACAGGGCTTCGGTTTTGAAAATACTGTACATGGATTTCACAAATCTTTTTGCAGCAAAATAAACTTACCTTGTAATTCCACTTTCTCCATGAACTTTTTGGAAGTACTCATATACTATAAAACATGCAACAATAAAAGGTAAAGAGTGATGTAAATGGGGCCAGTGGTGGGGTATAGTGTTAGGTAAAGCCCCTGCAGTGCTGGCATCCCCTATGGGTGCCAGGTCGAGTCCCAGCTGCTCCACTTCCAATCCAGTTCCCTGCTAATGTGCCTGGGAAAGCAGTGGAAGCTGGCCCGAGTGCTTGGGCCCCTGCACCCCTGTGGGAGTCCCGGAAGGATCTCCTGGCTTTGGACCCATCCAGCTCTGGCCATTATGGCCACCTGGGGAGTGAACCAGCAGATGGAAGATCTCTCTGTCTCACTCTCCTCTCTGTAAACTCTGCCTTTCAAATAAATAATTTTTTTTATGATGTAAATCTACTCTGCAGCTCTGTATGCCCCCAAGGGACCCCAAGCTGCACCCCACAGCTCTAACCACCCTCTCACTCTGAGACAGCTGCCCAGAGGATGCCCCTTGAACTGCTGGAAATGGGGTCCCCTGCTCTGGGGGCTCATCTCCATTCCCTCCCTGCCCCATCTTCCATCTCGTGGGGCCGTTACTGTCCCGGGGAGAAGGGCTTGCCGCCTTGGCGTGCCCCAGCTTCTCTTGTGCTGTGACCTTTTCACAGTCTAGTGAGTGAGCAGCTGGTATGGGGCCTCTTGTCACACACCCCAGCCTGCGCTCACGGCCCCTCGGTGTGCCGTCTGCTGAGAAAGCAGCCTGCGGGGAAGACCCTGGGAGGCACGCAGGGGCTCCGCCTTCCCGTGCCGCAGCAGGTGCTGCCCGGCTGACAGGCTGCGCAGCTGCTGGGAAGTCGGGTGGTAATGGGGTCCTGCTGTCTGCAGACCTGGTGCTCACATACACAAGCCACACCTGTGTCTAAACCCATTGCAGGAACAAGAGTCGGGGGGCAAGACGGGGTCGGGGGTGCTGCCCAGCCACCTCCATGGACCTCTAGCCCACCTTCCGCTCTGAGACACAGCCCCACTTGTGTACTTCGGTATCAATAGTGTTTATCTGCAGGCACAAATATGAATGGAATTTCAGTTGCCACCCCACACACAGACTCCTTTCTGGTACCAAAGTGCTCATTGTTGCATTCGCACTCCCCGCACCCACCAGTCAGATGTTGTCATTGTGCAAATATTTCTTGGCCTTGGGCAGCCTCCTGCTAAACAAACCTCCCCATTTGCCCAGCCTGTGCTGCCAGCTCTTGATGGCAACCCCCAAGTGGGGCGCTGCACAGAGGTGACCTGTGGTACCCAACCACGTGCTCCCTGGAGCCCGGGAGGCCTGGCTGCAAAGGAACCTGCTCTCCTGTGCCAGAACGCGGCATTGTCCTAAGACTTTCTCTGCTGTGAAGAGCAGGGACCCCCTGAGGGTAACTCGGTAAAGGATCAAGCGGGAGTTCCTTGGAGCCCTGGACAGGAGCTGCAGTGCCCAGCCTGGGCCACAGCCGCCACCCAGCTGAGCGAGACGGAGGCAGGGGGTGACACCGCGGCCGCTGGCCTGGGCTTGGATGCCGCGCTCTGTCACAGACTGTGTAGCCTTGAGCACACTGCCTCGCCTGTCTCATCTGTATGATAAGTAGCAGGGGAACAGTGCCTGCTTTGTGGACTATGATGATTAAATTGGAAAAACACGGCAGGAGCCTAGAGCCTAGAGCCGTGCCTGGCCCGCAGTAGATGCTCAACACACGTGACTGTCATTCGCTCTGCTGTTTCCTGCTCTGTCGTCCTCTCCCCTGCTCGCTGGGATGCTGCTCTCCTGGGACTCCCGCCCCACCCCTGCCTGACCTGCCACCTGCAGCGCCGTGGCCACTCCCACTCTAAGCAGGGAGGATCCGGTTGATCTCACTTTGGCGTGGGCTGCCGCCTGACTGCTGGCTGCGGTTGGATGTCCTCCCCTGATCCTCTGAGCTGCCAGGGCCTCAGGACACGAAACACAGCCACGTGGGCAGCAGGAATCCTGGGTGGGCAATGCCCTGGCCCTGCATGAGCCCCGCCTTCCGTCTTGCCTGCCTCTCCCACCGGTGGATACAAGGCAGGTCCCTGTAGAGGGCGTGGACAGCAGAGCCCTCGCGCCCTGGGACCCTTGCTCTCCTTTCTCCTCCCTGTCATCATCACCCAACAGCGCATCCATGGAGGTCCCGTCCCAGTGAAGATGACAGTGAGAGCCCTGATGCTGCCCCCAGCGCCTCAATGCCTGCCGGCCTCTTTGCACCTCAGCACTCCTTGGTTATTCAACCTTGAAGGCTGAGTTTTATGCCCAAGGGAGGGAAAGAGGTGATGGTGCCACCACTTCAGTGCCTTGGTCCACAGCCAGGCCTGAGACTCAGTGTTACCCATGGGGCCAGTGCTAGGTCCTCGGCCACCCTCTGAACACCAGACACAGTGCCAGCTCCCCGGCCCTGGGGAGAGAGGCTCAGCTACCCCTCCTCATCACAGCAGGAGCCTACTAGAATCACCCAGACTCCCCCCTAAGAGTGGCCTGGGGGAGAATGTGCAGGTTCAAGGGCCTCTTGGGTGTCCAGATGCCCTGGCCCTCTGCAGCCAGCCTCAGCGCACGGGCCAAGGTACAGAGGAATGGACAGAGCTCAGTCTGATGGGTCACACTGGCTTCTGGGCAGGTGGAGGTCACTCAAGTGCCTGGAGACTCCTGGAACAGGAAGGGTGTTCTGAAGATGGCTGGGAGGCGAGAGCAAAATAGGTCTGCAGAGGGGCCGTGCGCTGGACAGTGCGATGCCACTGTCCGGACCACAGCTCACTGGACCACGGCTGGGGTCCAGAACCAAAGTGTGCCCCCGGCCTAGAAGGTGGCACAGGCACCCCACACGAGGGAGCCCCATGCAGTCAGGAACGGACCCTGTTCTCACTCTCACTCTCCCTCGGCCGCGCGCTCTCTTCCTCTCTTAGCTGTCTCTTTGGAATTTGGCAGGAAGCGAGTCATTGTGGACTATTTTGAAAACACTTAGGGGTTTTTAAGTGTTTCAAGAATAGGCTGCATAAATCATGCCCCTTTATCCCTTGGCACTTCAGTGTGTTTTTACCAAGAACGAAGGTCACCGTCTTTCAGCTAACAAACGAGGAAATTTAACAATGATGCGATACTCCTTTTGCTATGTATTTGAAAGGCACAGAGACAGAGAGGTAGAGGTCCCATCTGCTGGTCCACTCCTCAGATGCCCAAACAGCTGGAACTGGGCCAGGCTGAAGCCAGGAGCTGGAAACTCAATCCAGGTCTCCCATGTGGGTGACAGGGACTCAGATGAGCTGGGTCAGCACAGCTGCTTCCCAGGGCGCATGAGCAGGAAGCTAGGATTGGGAGTGGAAGCAGGAGCCTAACCCAGGCTCTGTAACAGGAGATGCAGGCGTCCTAACCCCCCCCCCCCCCCCCGCACCAAACGCCCAGCCCCACCCCGAGACAACCTAGTCTCTTCCACGTTCCAGCTGTGCCCTAAGGAGGCCCTCCCCTGCTGGCAGAGTTGGGGAGCACATGTGGAGAAAGGCCACCTTGTCCACACCCCAGGCTGACCCCGGCTTCCCTCTCCGGCCACCCCAGCACTGGACGCTGGGGCCGTCTATGCAGAGGCCGCGGCCTTTGAGTCGGCTGTGGTTGCTCAGAAACCTGCGATCATCCCAAACCCATTCTCTAACTCTTCTTAATAAAGTTACCCGTGTCTCATCCGCTTCCATAATGGAGTGACTTAAGAACTACACACCTCAGCCGCTAGGGCCTTCAGGACACAGGGCACGGAGCTCTTCCTGCCATCCAGAGCTGCCTTTTCCCTGGAGGGGGGTGGTGCAGATGTGCCCGGCCAGGCTGTGTCTCCAGCACTGGCCCCCAGAGCCCACCGAGCCTGACTTCACAGAGGGCAAGCTGGGCGTGCTGTGGCCTTTGGGCCTGGCAGGCTCTCCACACCTGCAGCCCTGCCCTTGGCCAGATGCAGGGAATCAGGCTGGTGAGGCCTGCCCTGGCGTGTCCTTGCACCCAGAACATCCCCTACCGGTAACGCTCTGGGCACCAGGTTCCCTAGAGAAGCCTGTACCCTGGGCCTTCCACTTTCCTTCACACGGGGCCAGGGGCTGCGTCGTAGCCGGGTAATGCGGAGGGGCCCCGTCTTCCTACGGTTGGGATTGGGCAGCCACCTGCATCCCAGCCCAAAGCTACGGTGTCTGATGCCCTCATCTCAGTGCTGGT